AGCTAAAGAACAGGGGTCGACTTGGGAGTAAGGCCACAGGAGGACATTGAATGGCCCCTCCCGTAGGGAATAAAAGAGGAGCGAAAGGGGAGTGGAATTCGCAGGAGACAATTAGTTCATTCCTGCATTCTTGCCAAGTATTGCAGCATCTGAAAGATATCGGCCTGGCCATTCTCCAAGCCTGATAAAGGTCGGTAATTGTGAACTATCTTGAAAGACTGTGGGAGAGGAAAGACTTTGCTGGAGAGGAATCCATTGTAAATTAAATAAAAGGGGTTTATCGGGACGAGGACTCGGCTTCTAGGTCAGAACAATTATATTCTGCTACATATAAAAAAAACAGTCAACAGGTAACCCAAAAGTAAAACTATGATTTGAAGCAATCTGTTAATTATCTCTTATATCTGTCTCTGTTTTAAAGGCAAAAAGGCTCTGGCTACCGGTGAAGTTCACATTTGGGTGAAACAATGCAATGACCTGCCCATCCTCAGAGGCCCAAAACTCAATTCTTTTGTGAAGTGGTAAGTACATCGCTCAGCACGATGGCTCCGTGTTAAAGATGCTGAGCTTGTCAGCCGATAGCCACGGTTCGATACCTGAGCACTTTGTGACGGGGTGAGCTCCCCTTGCTTGTGTCAGCTCCAGCCCCCCTAGCAGTTTGAAAGCATTGCAAATGCGAGTAGAAAGTGGTACCACTTTTGGTGGGGAGGAAACAGTGTTCCATGCATCTTGGTGTATAATCATGCAGGCCACATGACCAAGGAAAACGTCTTTGGACAATGCCGGCTACCTCAGCTAAGAAAAGGAGATGAGCTTTCCCTCCTAGAATTGGATATGACTGGACAGAGGAAACTTTTATTGTTACCTTTTTAAGCACAATGAAAATGTGCATAATAGGTACCAGTGTGAGTGACAACTCAGATCAGGTGAACTGGTAGTAGCGGTGGCGGGAGGCTTCACCCACCAGCCCGGACGCTTCTGCGGTTCGCAGCGTGCCCAAACCGGTAGTAAAAAAATTGGCAATGCACCACCGGTGTGTTCTGACCCAGCTCCCCAAATACGAGAAACCCTCTGAAGTTAACTCAAAGATTACATTATTAAGATTGTCAGCAGCCCCGGCAAAAAGTTTCCCTCTCAATGCAGGCTAACACGTCTGTCTGGCCGGGGAGATGAATAGTTGTCTGCCACATCAATTTATCTCTGCCCCCTGCTTTTTATCCCCTGGAATTAGGGTGGGGCTTTGCTAGCAGCGGTGGCTCTTCCTTCCCAAGGTCCATGTTAGGTAAGCTCCCCGTTGGGAGAGCAAGTACGTTCAGCAAAGCGTTGTGAGAGTTGTGTTGGAGAACACACAAACCAGCATACAGAGACACCGCAGTTTAAATAGGCATTTATTTTTGTGGAAATAGAGGTATCAGAGTCCATCAAAACAGTCCAAGTCGCACCCTAATTCC